TTTTTTTTTTAATGTATTATATTATTTAAAAAAATTAATGTATTTTACTTACAGATTTTTTTCGGTACCCATATTCATTAAATGTATGTTAAATTCTTGAAAATTTTAAAATAGCTAGTGTTAGGATAAATTGATTTTTTTCCAAGTATCGCTGTTAATTTAAATGGTATTAAATTCAAACGTGATAAATGGGCGAAATATATAGCAATAATATTTGATTTGTGGGAATCAAAACTGTCACTTTCAATATAACAGTGAATAAAAGTAATTTCCACAATATCCACAAACTTCTCATTTATTTGACACAATTCCTTAAAAAGAAAAAGTTTAATCATGAAAAAAATAAAAACTGAAGAGTGACATAATTTATTTTTTATATCAATTAATAAATGATAAATGAAACTTAAAACAATTCTTTTCATACTTTATGAATGTATATGGTTAAATGTCTATAATTATTAAAATAATTTAAAAATAACTGGTACTTATGTGTTATCTTGACTACCAAAATATTTCCAAGACTATCTATTAGAATAAACTACCTCTGTATAGGAATCTATTTAAAAATATACATAAAAAAATCTAAAAATAATAATATGTAGTTATAAAAATGTATTACAAAACAAAGAATAAGTACTTAAAAGAAATCTGTTAAAAATAATACAATAAATAAATCATGTAGTTAATAAATTTTTTGTGGAGGGTAGTATGTTTTAAAATCCATCATAATTTTATCAAATGGTGTATCATTTCCAAGGTTCAGTCAGATATAAGTCTAAAATCCTAAATGATGGTGAGCAGGTCCCCTCTGTTTTTTATTTTGACACTTGGCTGATCTCCATAGGTGGTCAATTGCACATGCTTCGCGTAAGTAATTATTCCAGTCAATAACTGTATTTAAACTTATACCTAATTGCTGTTCGCACCAATTTGCACTCAACATTATGTGAGACCAGATATATATAAATTGTATGGCAGTTACAAACGATAATCATGATTTTTCAAACCAATTACTATTATGTATATTAACCTTTTTTTTAGAATTTTTTGACATTACACTYCCGAAATATCTCTTTCCCAAAATATAACTTTGCCAAGTGATTGTTTTGACAAATCCGCACACTTGGCAACACCCCACATTTTTGAAGAAATTGTACAGCTTCCTACTCTGAAGATAGTAAATTAAAAAAATTCAATGTCATAGGGTATATATATATATATATATACTACACAGTAAATAATAACTGACGGACATTACAATGACAGCTGTCAACTGATTGGCGAAATAAATACCTGGTCTGACGGCAAGATATTTGGATGGTAAATTGTACATCGAAAACAAAAATAAATTGTAAATAATTACAATGATAGATTACAGATTACACTACGGGAATGTGAATTTTTAAATAGATTCCTATATGGAGGTAGTTGCATAGGCGTAATCTGGGGGGGGGCAAGAGGGGGCAACTGCCCCTCCAGATATTTTATTGAGGGGGCAATAGTATCGTTTTGCCCTCTTTTAAAAGTTATAACTTATAATTCAATTTCTATTTTATCATAGCAAAATTAAACAGCATAATGGATTGTTTAATAATTAATAATAATTAATTTACTGTTTTGACTTTTTGAGTGCCTAAGATTATTATTTATTAATAGTATCATTATAAACCAAGCGCCTTCATATCGTAATAATAGGAATTGCAGACAGACAACAGTGATGGCATGGCGGGTTATTAGTTATTACTACAATAGCACAATGCGAACTAAGATTAGTTATGTATATGCATTTTTAGTTTTACTACTGCTTGCCCTCCCCCTCCCCAGAATTGACTCCAAGTTACGCCACTGTTGATGAAAGACGTATTCGGGTAATCGAGATAACACTGTTAATTCTAACCGTTAGTGTTGGAAATATTTTGGTAGTCGAGATAACATGGTTGTGCACCCAAGGTAGTCAAGATAACACAAAGTACCAAGTAACTTAAAAATTTTAAATTTACTAAAACATGTAAATTTAATTTAAAAAAATAACAGTATCAAATTAAATATTTACTTTGGTGAGTAATCCAAAATGATTAATGTAAAATGTATGTTCACAGCAGCAATCTAATATCATAAAACATAAGTCCACGTTAATATGTCCATGATAATGTTTTACAATTTGATATGCAAGGTTAGAATAATCTGCTGCAACGTACGTTGTGTTTATCATTGATCTTAGACATATCTTTCTTAATGATACATCTGTGTCTTTATTTATGCCATAAATATATGCCATTGCTTCGAGCACTAGAAAAATAATATCATTGATTAATGTTACYAAAAAATAATTTAGACCAATATTTCCTATGAATATGCAAGTCATGTGTATAAATTAGTTTTATTATTTTGAGTTAGAAATCAATTTAATTTTCATTTAATGTTCATTAAATTTGATTCATAGCTTAGTAGCAAATATTTAGATTAAAAAGATTTTACATTTTTTTTCACCATCATATTGATCATCATAATCAGTCTCAGATTCTGATTCACTTTCTTCTTCAGAATCATATCCTTGTGATCTTAATATTGAATCTTTATAGATATTTTCTTCTAATTCGAATTCTGGTTCGTAGCGGTAACCTTCATTGCAAATTTAAAATTCAAGTTTAAATTCAAAATAAACTTCATACATATTACCTGTTATATTTGGAGCAGTAGTTATAAAGTTTATAGATGTATAATGAGTGATTTGAGACTTATTGATAGGAAATAAATCAAGATGTTGAAACTTGAATCCATTTTTTTGTAATTTAAACATTAGTTTCAGATTWTCTTTAACCTAAAATTAGACAAATTACTTATGTTGAGTATAGACATATAATAAAATTCTGAAATTAGTTTTACCAGTACAAAATGTATGCTATGTAAAAATATTTAAAAAAATAATTTTTATAATACATTTTACCCAAATAAAAATATTATGAATATACTATGTATTTAATAAACAATATTAAATTTACCTCTTTGTCAAGTTGTTGATTATTCAATAAATTGCGCATAAAATCAAATGTTTTTTGCAAAATATTTCTATAAACTTGGCTTATCTTTTTACCACATAATTCCAAAATTAGAAGAGCTGCTTTTGCAGATAATATATCCTGTTTTTCAATGAAAACCCATAATAATTGTATTGCCAATCTTCTACTAGCCTAAAAATAACTAGTCAAAATTGTGTTCTATTCAAGATTTTTTAAAAACTTACAACTCTAAGGTTAATCAAATGTCCAATGAACATAACAGATGCTAAACAATCTGATGTTTCATTTTTGAAATAAGCACTACTGAATTGCATAATACATCTTTTCAAGATTAAGTCTCCTACTTCCGGAAGCTAAATAGATTAGAAAGTAAACTTTTACAAATAAATTATATAAAAAATATTGAATCAGGTCATATTACTGAAACACTTACTACAGGATTGATGGTAGCAACTAAAGATGCGTAAACACGTGTATCAGTGATTGAAGATTGTTGTGCTTGGATAATAAAGGTACAAAACATTTCWTTACCTCTTATCATATTTTGTTGTAATAATTCTTTTTTCACAATCCCAATATTAACAGCATTAACTTTGTATATTAAATAACCAATTGCCACATGCAATTTATTCCAAGCAATTCTTTGATTAATATCACTAAAAAATTGAACAAATTGAGTAATCTGTTAAAGTTGATTTGATTTTTTAAATTAAATTTAAATATATTGTTGTAGTATTTATGTTTTTAAATATTGAACTTTTTTAAGATAAATGTTTTATAAAATGTTTATTAAACTGAATGCAAAAATGTTTAATTTAGTTTATTATTAATATTTAGAAATGTAATATAAAAATATTCGAAAAAAAGCATGTACTATTGACGAAAAAAAAAATTCAAATTAATCTGCTATCATACWCATAATTTCACTCAAACTCTATAGTTTAAGTATCTCGATTTCTTTTTTCTTAATTTGATGGATCAAATAGTTAACCAGCCACAATTTCTTTTTTGTAATATAATATTCAAAAATCATGTATTTATTATTAGATATGTCTAAATAAATCTAAGATAATTATATTATTGCAGAAAATAAATATTTTACTAATTGTAGCTCTTTATCTATAATTAATAATGATACATTTTTTTTATTTAATTGACAAATAAAGTTATGAATTATAACAGATACCTTAATTTATCTAAAACTGCTTGCTCATCATCTATATCATTTGATCTTGTCTCTGTAAAGTAAATTTTATTATTATAATACTGTATTTAATTTAGATATTATTTTAGTTATTACAATAAAATATTATGACTAATTAATGAATGCTTATGCTCATATCTTACACCAAAAAAATCCATTTGTAATTAGTTTTGGTATGTATCAACGGTTTGCTAAACTTTGTTAGTGAATTTAACACATAACACTTGATAATTAAGATTTTAATTCGAGCTACAATACATAGGTAATCAACTCATGCAACAAACAATAAAAAACCTTATTATAACCTCTGATGAAAACTCATAAAAAAAAACTTAACTATACTCCATTTCAAAAGTATTCACTTATACATCAGTACTGTACACATTTTCCTCTATCTACCTGTTACTACTGACACACTCCACAGCGGCAACCAATACCATAGCGGCCTGTCTACAACTTTATCAATCTATGATAAAGATACCATATGTTATATATATTATATTATATATTATATACCTATGCTGTTGAATGGGAGATGTGTGCCACCAGATAGAAACTGGTCTTTGCCCGGTGAAACCCTTGAACTAAGTATAGGTGTAACATAGTGTCTAAAACCTATGTTGACAAGTTATTATATATTTAGTTAGGTGTTTTATGTTATTACTAGGGCCCGGATTTCAATGCAAAGTGCATATTTTTTTGATTGATCGTAGACAATGCTTTTTAAGTATAAAATTTGTTTCATGTAACGAGTGTTTCAAAGCTAAACATTTTATTTTGCACTTTTTTGCATATTTCGGCATTTTTATATTTTAAGASCATTATTAGCATTATTGGGTAATTTTTATGGTTTTTAATGCATATTCGTTCAATACACTATACAAATTGAGTGTATTATTAATATATATTTTATTATCTATGTTTAGAAGGAATGATATTGCCCCAAAACTTCATAGCATGTGTCAACATCATAGCAGCATCAATTTAATTTTTCTAATTTTTTTTTTCAATAAAGTAATAAATATATGTTAATAATAAATTCCAGATTAAAATAACAAATTGTATAAAAAATAAATATAAGTGGAATTTTTAAGGTAATTTTTTGTGGTAAAATGCATTTTTTAAGGACATTTTTGGCATTTTTTAAAGCATATTTGTATGGTTTAATCCGGGGCCCTAGTTATCACATATCAGCCTTTAATAAAGAGTTCAAACATTTTAATACATAATATTAAGAAACATAATTWTGGAATGCATTTATAGTTTTAATAATCAACTAGAACTAATATTTTGAATAATAATTTTAATTTAAAGATTCTTCCTTGGTTACTGAATAAAAATGTAAAAAAAATATGATTAATAATTAAAACATCTGAATTTGTAATAATGCATAATTTACTCGATGCATAATTCTTGTCACTAGTACATATCACTAGCAATGATATCGAACGCGTGAATAGAAGTATATGATGCTTAGTAATAATAAAACCTGGAGCATGAAGACTGTTTCACATGGGTGTGTATCATACGTGAAGTATCATAAGTGCGCGTTTTTAGTTTAGATTGATTAAGTTCATGCGTGACACACAAACAAGAAAAACATGTCATCATCGGACTGCAGCATATGAATTCAACTAATGTAACTGAAAATGTGCATATATGATACGTTGTGTATATGAATTCAATTTTAACTTGTACTTTTAATTTGCACATACTTCAATAAATGTACATATTATTTGATGAATATAATTAACATTTATAKWGGAGACACATATTAATTATTTTTGTTTTTTGAGTAGAAACTCTAGTAACTAGTTACATAACATTTATTTTTAGATTTTTTCCATATATAGTATTTGTGGTATTATGATTACTGAGTTTAAAAAATAAGCTAAATTACAAACATGGTTAACTTTTTCATGTCATCATCCAAATCATTGTATATTTTTTAGTTGCCAAATATGGGCGTTTTGAAATTTTAATTAATTATATAATAACAAACACAGGTATCTGTGACTGGTCAGAATTAATATAAATTCCTAGAGATTTTATTTCCATACATAAGACATCCATTSAATATTATAAGTGTCATAAAAATTAAATCAAATACCAAGAACTTTAGATGAAAATTGAAAGTATTTTAATAGATTGGAATTACCTAAATTAGTTAAATTCTTTAAATTATTAATTCATAATTAATGTACAACATTTTAAAAATGTATAATGTAATATAATATAGCTGTAATCAGCAGTAATTTTTTCTGTATATAAAGACTTTAGACSATCTATTATACTTTAAAACATATAAATGTTTTACACTAATATGTAAACATTATAAGATAAAATGATATCAACAAGTTTGGTGGATAAATAACAAATCAGTTGATACCGATATTCAAAAGTTATCTATATAAAATGAAAAATTAATATTTTGTATAGTTCATAATAAATGACTTACTATTGGGGATCTCCAAACCTTTTTACTCAAGGGTCATATAAAAATTTAAAAAATGTTTTGGCTAAAAAACTAAGGATACTTAAAAAGTACTCAATAAATCACATTTAAGGGTGCCAGAGTCAATGATTTTTTGATACAGAAACATGCCTTACAGGAAAAACTTTAATGTCTTGTAGAATAACAGGATTTCATTAATTATTTTATTTATTTTAAACAGAAAATTTTACAGCTTGGATAAAACTCTTTGATTTTTAAAATTATAATTAGTGTCAGAAACTAAAATATTCATTTGAATATTGCACAATGTTTTTTTTTCAAATGTATTTTTCAAGCATAAGTTATATAAAGTAAAATGAAAATTAGGACTTTAATCAAAAAGAGTTTTCATCTTTTAAACAAAAAAAAAAAATTGTTAAAAATCGTAATACTAGATATTAATGAGTTGTGGGAGTCTGTGAAGTTATTTTAGTTTATATAATACTTTATATTATCTACCCACCCCTTAAATAGGTACTGGACAGCAGTGTAGTAGGTTACAAAATCCTAGTAATAGCATACCATAAATAATGTTGTTAATGATATGTATTAATTATTAAGTTATATAACCGGATTATATTATTACTATTTATTTATTACCTTACACAATGAATAAGCTGTAGTTTCAAAAAGTATAAGTAAAACTATTAATCATTAGATAGGACAGCTAGGTGCAAGTATTAGCAATCGTAATTGATGCTACATCCGATTTGGCGAATACACTTTTACAATAACAACAACAACCGTAGACATACAAGCCGCTAGAACAAACAAGCTGACATCGTAAATAAGGAAGGCTGAAATAGATGGTAATCAGATTTACCATAGCCACTAAGACCTGAGCACCTAACACCGTTTACATTGTTATTAGTAAGGCTTGGATTTCAATGCATTTGCATCTATTTTTTTGGGATGTCTTACGCGATGCTTTCCAAGCTACAAATATGTTTTAAGTACTCTGTGTTCCAACCACAAACATTTTTTACATTTTTAGCAGATTTTATATTTTTTAAGGTATTTTTGACGTTTTTAGTGCATTCATTTTTAAGGACATTTTAGACCTACTCTCRAATTATGACTAAAAAATTGACCTCATTGAAATATAAGTATTATGTAATATAAATTATTTTCATTCTGAACTATTTTTAATTTATCCAATAAGTCGATGCCATTATAAATTTATTTTAAATTAATTATTAAAAAAGAAATTTTTTACAGGGTAATGTAAATATAATTTCATTTTTAAATAGTAATATGAATTTATTTAATAATGCATTTTTTTGATATTTTTTGGGCATTTAAATCTGAGCTCTATTTATTAGTATAGCAATATAATAGAAGAACTGAATGAATAAGAACAAGTTTTTAATATTTTTTAAAGCATGTTTGCTGTTGTTCATTGTAGTTTCAGACATTAAAATTTATCTTATTTATATAGTAATTTCTCTATATTTGTTTAATATTAAAAAAAAATATTATAATAGGTACATAATGTACTACATGAAAAACACTAAGAAAAGAATAAATAAGAAAAAATTAATAGTTCATTATAAAATTATTCACTGCAATTTAAAGGCACGTGTAGCTAGGAATGTGAATGCTATTTTACAACTAACTGTTGTACCAGATCCAGTGCTTGTTAATTTTTGTGAAACAAGTAAAAATAATGAAACAGTATCTCAATATTTATCAAACAAAATGTGGTMAGTGTTAAATAATTACTAAATGGACCATAACATAATACCAGTAGYAATTTGTACATATACTTGCATACTTTAGGCCATGAATATTTAAAATCCAATACATGTGTTCATTAGGTAATTACAGATAATTAACTGTCAAAGATTAATATGAAAACACTAATCCTACATTTATAATTATTATGCACTATTATTTAAAACATCAGAAAATGCAATAACTGTGAAGAACCATAACAGAACAAAAACCAAATAAAATACAACTGTGCATTGTATCCTCGACTGCTGGTGTGTTAATAGGACGCTACTCAACGTATTTGTTGTCTCTGTCTTACAAGTGMATAACATAGCAAATTTGTGGTCAGCAGATCATGTTTGGCTCCATTATTTTACAAATTAGTATGAATTGACCTATTATGAAGCTTGATGTTCACAACATTATCTGTGTTTGTATGTGGATTTTTACGATAATTCAATTTTGCAGCAAGTAAAATATATAAAAAAGCGTAAATTAAAAATACTCATAACTCACTTCAAAACTAATTTCTAGTAAAAACCCACATACAAACACAGATAATATTCTTACCATGAAGTTTCATAAGTGGTCAATTTACTCTAATTTTTGAACTAACAGAATTAAAAGTGATCTGCTGAACGTAAATTTGTTTTGTTACGCACTTGTATGCTGGAAACAACAAATATGCGTGTAACCTCCTCTTAAATTCTTATCACAAGTATTAAAATCTTTGTAATACAAAAATGGTCACTGAAATTAACTTACGGGATTCTTCATTTTCCTGTTCATTGCTGGTAGACAGGCTCGAGTTGTCTGATGGCGATGCCATTTCTGTCAGTCGGTGCAAAACTAATACTGAAACAATTATCACGATTATCTAGGGGAGTATGATCGTGAAAGCTCTTCTGGTTCGACCTTCAAAATGAAAACACGCCAACTAAAGAGTGATGAGTAACTAGTGACGAATCTAAATAATGCAAAAATAAAAGATATTGCAGAACGCAGGCGCACCATGAGAACGGCAATAGAGAACTGCCGAAGTGAAGACTCTTATACTCTAAATATAATCGTAGTTAGGTTACATGTTGTTTGTCTGTCAATAACTTACTATCGTCTGTTGCGTGGTAACTCAGAACTCACATGGCATCACTTCAAGTATTTAGCTATAATAGCCTCAATAAAATTTTTGTAAATCGATAAAATGGACACCAGAACAATAATAATTATTAAACAGAACTTATATCACTCATACTCAGTGACAAGCATGGACTACGTAGTCCGTGGTGACAAGAAAACAAGTGATGAAATGACAAGATAAATTGATAAACATATTAGGCGAAAATGACAATAAACAAAAGTCTCACGGATCACTGACGGTCTGATTAGTGATTATTTATGATTATTATGCTATTAAGTTTTGTGTACAGTGATCAGTCGAGTTCATCGTAATATTGTAAGGTTATAACTGGTTTACGGTTAGTGGTTATAAGTTTATGATAATTATTATACAATTATAACCGTTTGTGAAAGTGACACATAGATAATAAAAGAATGGATAAGCCATCACGCCTTATCGCACGGGCATGAACAAAGAGGTTACAACTGTTACAAGGGGTTTTATCAGTATAAAAATATCAAAATTGCTATAAAATAAATGATAATTCCCCTTACTAAAGTGAGATCTGCACTATACAGGGTGATTGATTTATCATAAAACACTCATTATTTCAGTTGACTTTTTTCAAAATTATTTTTTTACATGGTTTCAAGTTGTTAAAAAACCAACGTTTTTATTAAAAAATTNGTATTTTGATACATAAAAATCGAATTTGGGGCTAGTAGTTTATGAGTTATAAGTATTTAAAGTTTAGACAAGCAGAGTATTGGACAAACATTTTGCGGGGTAACTCATAAACTACTAGCCCCAAATTCGATTTTTATATATCAAAATACTTAGAAAAATATTCTGTTTTGGAATATGAAATTAAAACTATGTTGTCATCCAAAAAAGTAAAAAACATAAAAAATGATAAGGATAAAAAATATTTAAAAATATAATTTTTTAATAAAAACGTTGGTTTTTTAACAACTTGAAACCATGTAAAAAAATATTTTGAAAAAAGTMAAYACKTTTTGAAATAATGAGTGTTTTATGATAAATCAATCACCTTGTATAAAAAGAAATCTGTCTCTCATCCACATTCCGGCACGCAAACCCCTATGTTGTTAATATAGGAATGGCTTATTATCCATTCTTTAATTATCTATGAAATGACAACGTTAACCACGGATATGAATACTACATAAATATATACTGGATAGGCCATCCCTATACTAAACACCCATGGGGCAGCGTTCCCGAAGTTTCGGTATGTGCCCCATCTATACCATTGTTACCAGCAGTAACCAACAGGTAACCATTTTGACTTATCACTATCTACTAATAATTGTTATCAAACAAATAATAATGTTGAACATTTGTCGTTTACTGTTTGACTTTAAAACATAAAAATGTTGAATTTCTAAAATTTTAGCATTTTCATTTTTATAGTAATGAATTTGGCTGAATCAAAAATATGTGCGAGAGAGACAGACTTACATATGTTAGAATTTCCAAAGACATTCTAATCAAAATATTCTATCGTCCTTGGATAATTATATATTTTTTCAATGATAACGACAACCAACGAATGATAAGATTTCAAAATCACTCCCCGCGTTATAGCATTTTGTTTATTTGATTAACAACTTGTGTTTTGATTTATAAAATTTAAATTTTAAAATTAAAATGGTCCTTATGGGCTCTGTGAGAAGCTGTAAAACTAAACATTCCAAGAATTCTGATACAAAGTTTCACAAGTAAGTATTATCTGTAACTGTAATATAAGTAAGGTTTACATTATAATTAAAAATTACACAAATATATTTAAATAATAAATTAATTACCTTTTAATCCATATAAGTTTCCTACAAATGAGGAATTGAGAAGCAAATGGTTATTAGCCATCAATAATGAAAGTTGGTTTGTGCCATCCAAGCATTTTGTTGTGTGTAGCAAACATTTTGATATGGATGATTATCAAACTAATGCTTTGGGGAACAAGAAGCTAAAGATGAATGCTGTTCCAAAATCAACAATCAGCCGTAGATCTTTACTTGAAGGTGAGAACAAATTATTGAAATTAGGTACCTGCAATGTGAGTTAATTATATTTTACCAAGACACAATATGTATATTTTAAATTAGATTTTGAGGTACTTCATCATTCAAAAGAAAACGATAGTGAGGAAACTATATTTGATTCAAATAATAGTGATGGTAAAATTAATATTGAATCTAATAAAATGTATCTTAAATTAATGTAAACAATTTGTAACCATTTTTTAGTTATACTGAACACTGGAGTAGTCAATGATTTTGTAGAAAATGATAATATATTGTCAGAAACATCAAATATTTGTAAAGAGGATCTTGAAAACTCAGTTGTACAACAGCAACATGAAGAAAATAATATTAGTATGAATTCATCAACCTCAATAAAAACACCTCCACAAAAGTATTATTTATATATTTTTTTTCAATTGTTTTTATAACAATTTATTTGATGTATTAAATAATGTAAATTTATTGGAGAATAAAACTATTTCGTTACTTGGGAGATTATGAAGAAGAAGATTTGGAAATCCCTAGAAAGAGGAAAATGTTTTGGACTGTTTTTAAAAAAACCTTAGAAAAAAGCCAATACCGAAAAATTGTTAAGACAAAAAAATCATAGATTGCAAGTTAAAATAAGGACATTAAATACATTAATTGATAGTTTATAAGCCGATAYCAAAATTACAGCGAATTGTTCCAATATTTTAACGATAACTTGCAACCAAAACCTATCTTCATCTAAAAAATATACAACAGCAAATTTGTTTAAGCTAAATTTGGTATGCTGTCAAGACAACAAAAACTAAGTTTTACCTTATTTAACTATTCTGTCAGTGGGCTTACAATATGCTAATCAAAATTATTATAACTCATTATTATAACTAAATTAAAATACTCAGAATATAGTTTAAGATGAAATTATGTATTCTATATTTCTATAGCTAAATACCATCTGCAATCTATGTGCACGTGTGTTGAATCTGTTTATACAATAATTATATATTATAGCTTAAGATATTAAAATATATATGTAAGCAAATGCATACTTATTAAATAAAAATTCTTTCAAAACTATAATTATGCATATTTATTTACTTATACAACCTTCATGATACTGTCTCCTTATAATATATTAAAATTAAGCTATGAATTAAAATTAATATGCCTATTCACTTACTGACAACAGAAGAAGAAAAGCATCTCCTCATGCGTCAACTAGGTCTGTCATCCAAAACCATCAGTCCGAAATTACGGAAATTTGCTCTAACATTGTATTTTTATTCCCCAAATGCTTATGACTATGTCCGTAATATATTCAAYAAATCTTTACCACATCCAAGTACAATTAGAAAGTGGTATGCAAAAGTCGATGGCCGTCCAGGATTAACATCAGAATCATTAAGAGCTATACAAATTAAAGTTCAATAATTTCAAGAAAGTGGAAAACAATTAATTGGGGGACTGATGTTAGATGAAATGTGTATAAAAGAAAATGTTCACTGGACTGGATCACGTTACCAGGGTTTTATTGTTTACGGTCCTGGTAGCATAAATGAAATGGATAATTTGCCATATGCCAAGGATGCATTAGTTATTATGGTTGTAACATATAATGCCCATTGGAAAATAGCAGTTGGATATTATCTTATTAATGGTTTATCTGCAGAAGAAAAAGCTAATATAACAAAAACATGTTTATCACAATTACATTCAACGGGTATTTTAATCAAATCACTTACATTTGATGGAGCTTCCAGTAACATAGCCATGGCAAAGGTATTGGGTGCTAATATACATTATCCATACTTGCAAAGTTCTTTTGATCATCCTGAAACCAATGAAAAAGTACACCTTATTTTAGACCCTTGTCACATGCTTAAATTATGTAGAAATGCTCTAGGAGATTGGGGATTATTATTGGATAATGAAGGACAGCAAATCAAATGTTCGTATTTTAATGCACTTGTTAATATACAAAATAAAATAAAATTACATTTAGCTACAAAAATTAGATCACAACATATCAATTATACCAAGGAAAAAATGCGTGTCCGTTTAGTTGTAAACCTTTAGTAACAGTGTTGCAGATGCAATTGAATATTGTATGAACGATTTGTAACTACCAGAGTATTAAGGAGCAGAAGCAACAATTAAATTTTGCCGTTTAATGAACAATATAATATTTGATGTACTGAATACTAGAAATTGTTTAAGGAAAACACACAACAAACCTATTAATGAAAACAATAAATAATCAATTATACAATTCATGAATGAAGGAATAGTCTATATAGAAAAATTATAATGTCTTGAAAAAAAAATCAAATAGAAGGACAGGATTTGAAGGATTAATATTATGTCTTAAATTTTTAATAAATTTAACTTACGATCTTATTAGTGGTGGTTATCTTAAATTTATTTTAAGCTACAAGCTCAGCCAAGATCATCTGGAGATGTTATTTTCTGCTATAAGGGCTAAAGGAGGCTTCAATAATAATCCGACAGTAACTCAGTTTGAAGCTGCATATAAAGCACTTCTAGTACATGCTGAAATCAAATCAAATACAAGTGCTAATTGTCTTGTACAAGATAGACAAGTATACTAAAAATATCAAGTTTAAAAAAAAAGTCACCAACCGAAGACCAAGATGTGGTGCTTGATTTATTATGTGCAGCTGGGAGTCAACATACTTTAGAAGATGAAGATGAACTATTAGCGGTATACCAAAATTCCGATTATATTAAAGATGTAGTGGGATATATCGCTGAATTTGTGGTGAGATCCATTTTAAAACGTATTCAGTGTGAAGTTTATTGTGCTAAAAATATAAAATCACATGAAACAAATTCTCTATTTCTGAATAAAAAAAATAGAAGTGGTCTTACAATGGCCAATGCTGATGTAGTTAGTATATGTCAAGTTGCAGAATATACAGTCAGAGAATATTCCAAAATCTAACAATATAAGTATTCGAGTATAAGAAATCGGAGAGGGTGCAGGTGCATACCCTGCACCCCCCGTGGATACGCCTATGCA